CTCCGGAGGCCGTCTCCACCCTGCACCGTCGGGTAGCCCTTCTCTCAGGTCGCTTACTGCTACTCCAACACAACACTCGGCAGCTCACACAGTCCATCCTCAGTCCGCACGCAGTGTTGAAGCAGATTCTGCTCAGTCCTGCTCTGGAACCCCACAACCAGCATCTCCTCGTCCCCTTTTCTCCCCAACCACACTAATAATTGGTGACTCCATAACCAGAAACATCCGTTTCTTTAACGGTACCACTCACTGCTTCCCCGGTGCCACCACGGCTGACATTTTTAAAAAACTCCAGGACCTGATGCCGTCGCTCCCGTCCTCCATCACAAGAGTGATAGTCCATGTGGGAACAAATGACACAGCTCTTCAGCAGTCTGACTTTTATTTATCTCTGGTCCCATTCCCACAGTTGGTTGCGGTGCTGGCCGCTTCAGTAGAATCCTTGGCCTCCACGACTGGCTCCAGTCCGCCTGCAGGGCTCACCGTGTGTTATGTGGATAATTTTAATATTTTCTGGCAAAGAATGTCTCTTTTTAAGACAGACGGACTTCACCCAAACAAACGGGGCTCAGAAATGTTAGCTGCGCACATACAGCATGTGGTGCGGTCCACACATGACTTACGTGAATGACTCATCATTCATGCAGCACACCTGGACACACCACCGCTCACTGAACAGATCTCTGCCTCACTGCCACAAACAACTGTCTCCACCTGCTGGCATGTAAAGCCGTCTGCTCCCAGCGCTGTTCCACAGACTTCTATTCCTGTCATCATCACGCATAGACCAGTAAACCGAAATGTACACATCCCACACAGAAATATAGTAATCTCTTAAGGATTAGGACAACTGCACCAACTCCAGCACCCAGAACAAACTCATTTAAAATGGCTCTCTTCAATGTGAGATCTCTGTCAAGTAAGACTTTTATCTTAAATGATTTTATCTTGTCTGCAAATCTAGATTTTATGTTTTTAACTGAATCCTGGTTGCAAATGAATGACTATAGCCAGCTAGCTGAACTGTGTCCGCCTCAATATGATTGTTTTAGTCAACCGAGGGTCAGTGGTCGTGGTGGTGGGCTAGTGAGCGTGTATAGGAAAAATTTTAAATGTCATCAAGTACGCTGTGATGAATTTAACTCCTTTGAAGTTCTCACTCTTAAAGTTGGAGGGCTGCAACCTATAATATTTGTTATAATTTATCGCCCCCCAAAACCGCCTGGAGGATTTTTATCAGAACTTCCTGAATTTTTATCTACTCTGGTTTTAAATTATGACAGAATTGTTCTTTGTGGCGATTTTAATATTCATGTTGATGACCCCAACAATGTTAATGCAACTGACTTTTTAAATATGGCCACTTCTTTTAACTTCAAACAACATGTCAAAGGGCAAACACATAACCGTGGTCATACACTGGACTTGGTTTTTACCCTGGGTGTCAGCATTTCCTCTGTGGAATTAGTGGACATGACCATATCTGACCACAGATGTATTGTTTTTAGCTGCGATTCGCCTGTTACTCATGCCGCCTCACCAAGCTCCGTGTGTTGTCGCATCTTTAATGAACAAAGTGTTTCAAAGTTTTGCGCATTCTTTCAGAGCCAAAGCCAACACCTGTCTGATTCCAACAGACTGTGGATCAGCTGGTAAACCCAACCCCTCCTTGTGCCTCAGCTGGAAGTAATGATGACTGTGAATTGTTTTTATCTTATTTTACCAATAAGGTGGTGTCAATCAGAGCCTCTATTACCCCCGCGGCCTCTTACTCAGAGGTTCCTCACCAGCAACAAGAGAGTTTTAACCAGTTTTATCCCATCGACTTGTCTGAGCTTTTAAAAACAATATCACAAATGAGAGTGTCCTCCAGCCCACTTGATATAATACCTACAAAATTTTTACTAAAAGTAATAGATTCTGTTGGGCCCCATTTGATCTCTGTTTTCAACAGCTCCCTATCTACTGGTTGTGTCCCTGATTATTTTAAAACGGCTTGCGTGAACCCACTTTTAAAGAAACCTGGTTTAGATCCCTCCCTCCCACATAATTTTAGACCAATTTTAAAACTGCAAAGATTCTAAAAGAATTGTGTCCAAACAGCTGCTCACTGTACTGGAAAATAACAAAATATTTGAAAAGTTTCAGTCTGTTTCAGGAAGTACCACAGCACTGAGACTGCCCTGCTTAAAGTCACCAATGACCTTTTAATGTCTGCTGATGAAGGTATGTGCTCAGTCCTGGTACTCCTGGACCTTAGCGCTGCTTTTGACACCATTGATCACAACATCATGTTAGACAGACTGAGGCACTGGGTGGGGATCTCTGGTACTGCCCTAGAATGGTTTTCATCCTACCTGTCAAATAGGAAGTTTTGCGTGTCTGTAAACAACTATGTCTCCTCGTTCTGTCCAGTTAAATATGGTGTGCCTTTTGTTTTCCTTGTATCTGCTTCCCCTTGGACATATTATCCATAAACATGGCATTTCTTTTCATATTTATGCTGATGACACACAAATATACTTCCAGACCCTGGAATGCTGAGTTCACTTAACAACTGCCTTTGTGAAGTTAAGAAATGGATGTCAAATAATTTCCTCCAGCTGAACTCAGACAAAACAGAAATCCTGAGAGAGATTTGCCTCTTTCTTGAATCATTAGGTCATCAATGAATGAGATTTTCAGCCAATGGACTGTGGATACAAGATCAAAAACAGGTTTATTAGCTTCAAGTGCTTCTTGTTTGAGTGTATATTGCCTCAAACATCATCAAAATGATCAAGTCATCAAAAATCTAACTTTGGATGAACTATCAGATGTGTGGCATCTTTCATCAGGCCCATGTCATACCTTTGAACTGCCCATATAAATCATTTGGCACCTCAAACAGGTCAGCTATGTTCACAGGTGAATGTCTAACAATGAGGTGTGATGAATGTATGACAGGAACAACTTCAAGATTCTTTTTACCGGACCAGTGCATGTGAATATTGTCTTGTTTATATTGCCCTCTTAGGCGGTGGGCCGAGGCTGCGTATCTGCTTTAGTTTTAGAAAATAATGATCCCCATCGAGAGAGAACACAGATTTTTAAAGTTGTGAAGGTTATTTTATTCTCAATCAGATTCTGTTTGTTGCCACTTGAAATTCTTGATTCCAGATTCAAAGTTCAAGATCCACCTTCATACTCACATGCATTGCATGTTTGAAACCAACCTTCTTTTACATCTCTTTTTGTATTAAACTGCCTTGTCTCTTCTCTCCTGGGCTCATTTTAACTTTGTGATGTTAGTGAAATGGCTCCAGCAGTCCCTGTGATAGCCAGTGTGAGTTTCCAGCTTGTATCTTCACACTGCCCCTTCAGCAACAAGACCCTCTTTTTCATGATATTTCTATAGAAACCCGTCCTGTGTCTCTAAAAGGAATGTTGGGTCCATTTGTCTTTGCATGCACGCAGCACCCTGTTTCTTTCACAGATGACTCCTCCACCATCACTCCAACCAGGGTGGTGAGAAACTTGGGTGTCATGATTGATGACCAGCTGTCCTTTTCAGACCATGTTGCTGCTGTCTCTCAGTCGTGCCGCTTTGCTCTACACAACATCAAATCAGGCCCTACGTCACTTAGTATGCCACCCAGCTTCACACAGCAATCGATGTCCCTGTTCTCTCATCTGTGACACCACGATGGTGGAACGAGCTATCACACGCCATCAGAGCAGGGGCGTCCCTCTCTGACTTCAAGAAGCTCCTGAAAACACTTCCTCTGATAACCTCTCTAACGTTCTCTTCCTGTGCTCTTCTTCTTCTGTCTCCTTACAACGCTCTTGTACTGATTGCACTTTTTTGTTAACTCTTACTTCTTTCCTTAGTAATTTACCCCATTGATGCAATTTGTGCTATTAGTTCTTGGTAGTATTTATTGTTGCCCTTTTTTACTAGGTATTGTCAGTTGTAGATCTTGTGCTGTATTTGATGCTCTGTTGATGCTTTTATGTTGTTCCTCAAATGTAAGTCGCTTTGGATAAAAGCGTCTGCCAAATGAGTAAATGTAAATGTAGATGTGATCCTGTATTAAACACAGATGGATACAGGAGCGGTCTAGTGGGTGGCGCATTTTTATGACGTTCAACAAAAGATTGACAGATAAAGTTCCCAAGCAATACAATAGAACTCTAATTTGTCATCAGATATATTATGTGAAAAGCTCATAAAACACTTTTAAGGGAACAATTTTATGATAGAAGATGGATTAGTTGAAAACTGTAGAAGTTATTATCAAAAAACTGGGTCCTCCCTCAATGGTGATGGTTTAAATACATGAAAGCTATTTTTCCTTATGAGCCTGCACCATAAACTGCATTAAAAAAGGCCGTCACGCGCTAAGTCCATGCGTGATTTTAAAAGCTGCTCACCTTCAGCTGCGGTCTAAGGCATGTCATACTCTCTCATTCAAATATAAAATAATTTGCAAGCTGTATTCTTTCCCCATATAATACTACCCATGAGGATGAACTAATTAGGACGAGGAGCAATTTGATACAATTTCCCAATACTTTTACGTCTTAGGCATGTGAGCACACACCTCTTCTAATAGCTCATGTAGTAATGGAGAAAAGGAACACAGCAAAAAAAACCTCCCCTTTTCCAGAAAACATGCTGGAAACATAATCTGTCAATTTCCCGACTGTCCTCATTTTACGGTTTATCAATGTTCATCCTGTCCATCAGACACATGAGCTGTGCAGTGTCCCCATGTGTGAAAATAATAGAAAAAACTGCATTCATTGCTAGAAAGCACACAAAAGAACAATGAGCCTCTTGTGCCTCCCAGCAAACAGAATAGGGGCCCTGGTCTTGAAGATCTGGGTTCCATTTGAGTCCAAAACACATTTTTGTGAAACATGTTATAGGTGAGATTTTGGGCGTGTCGCTGGACAGCTGGGCTTGTGTTGGAGGTAGACATGGAGGGAGGGAGGGAGGGGAGAAAAAGAGTATTTATGCAGGTGCAGATCTGATGATATGTACTTACAGCGATGGCTTTCTACAAAGTGATCTGTGTGGCGACTCTGCTGACTCTCCTGACACAAGGTAAGAACCCTCCTCACTGATTTAGTACAAAATGATGAGTAATTTGAATGGTATACTAATTGTGAAAAACATTGCAATAACCTCTACGTGTAGTTTTTTTAACTTCATGCACAGTCTCTTTTGTCTATTAAAGTTTGTGTTTATTGCAAAACGTTGTTTAATGTGATTCTAATTTAGTTTCACCCCACAGTAACATTTATGAAGTTACAGTAAATCTATGCATCCTGTTGCACACCTGTGATTTGTGCTTCTGATTGACAAGATATCATGAAACAGACACAAAATCTTCCACTTGCAGAACATTCTTAAATAAATATTAAAAAGTTTTAAGTTGATCCAGATTTTAGATCTTTCATTAAGTGGTAAGCCCCATCTTCAGGACCCGCTGAAGTCTATAAGACCACCTGCTGGCCATCCTTTAAAATATTCCACAGTTTAGTACAAGCTAACTAGTTACGTTCAATTGTGCTTGATTTTAAAATTAAAGTCACAGAATTTACATATAATTCTGCAACTTAAAGCCACCTTAAAAACGTCTTATTCTTTTCAGTCTGTCCTTGTAGTATGAGTTTTTTGTAAGCATGCAATTAAAGAAATATTTGTGGATTTAATTTAAGTCATTTATGGAACTTTTGTATCCAGGGATATGTGGATAAATTAGAGAAACAGATGGTCACTGTACCGACACTGTGTGACTACAGATTTGTTTGAAAATCTTTAACTGAGGAGAAGAAGAACATCTGTTCACTGAACAGTTAATCATCCACGAGCAGAGTGAACCTTCCTCCATGTAACAGCAAATGCTTTTTTTTCTGAATGTGGCAGAAATTGGGAAAAATAAGGATTAACAAATGCAAAAATGTTTATCCTGTTAGCTGAGAGAAGACAGGGCTAAACGTTTTTCTGTGTTTGAATGAATTTAGTAAGAAATGTTACAAATGATGACAAAATTCCTCCCATGCAAATATCACTTCAATATAGCTAAGACATAAATAAATACACAATTTCTGTATCAAATATTGTTTGTTTTGTGTTTTCAGAGTCTCACTCACAACTGAATGGTAAGTCAAAGTTTCTACTCTCTTTTTTTACTTCCTGTCTGTCAATGGAACGTTTTAGACATGTTTCTATTCTTCTTATTTTCCTATTTTGTCTTTGTCTCTCTCCTCAGTGTGTGGTCTGCCAACACTCAACACCAGGATTGTCGGAGGAGATGTGGCCCCTGCAGGCAGCTGGCCCTGGCAGGCCAGTCTGCGAACCTCAGAGCCCCACATCTGTGGAGGATCCCTCATTAACAATCAGTGGGTGCTGACTGCTGCTCAATGCTGCACCAGGTAAGCAGTAAGGGTAGGGCCGCTACAAAAACAACATGCCATAAAGAGTCGCAAACAGCCTGTCCAAGGCAGTGGTTCCCAACCTGGGGCAGGAATCTCTCTAAGGGGTTGCAGGATAAATCGGAGAGGTCTGAGAGGCATCCGAAGTGTTCTGTTTTCTAGTCCGACTGGTATTAACCAATCAGGTTTGAGTGGGCTTTGATTGCATGCAGGTTGCAACAGTCGGTGTGGGGAGCAACAGAGGTGGATCGTGATGCCGCTAATGCAATCTCTGAACCCATTGGCTTTCGTCAGACAATGATTTAGCTTTTTTTAGCTTTGTGAACTGGTTACTTGTGAAACAATCTGGTCATAAACGTCTCCAAGTCCATTCTCACATCACATGTTGCTTATCAGACTGTAAACATGGGGTGCAGCTCAAGTCTGTTGTTTGTCTTCTTCTTTTTTTTTTTACTGATCGACACGCCCCTTTATCGTATAGCCGTTATTGATTGGACAGCTGATCGTACTGATCTGATTCATCGCAACACTGTTTCATACCAGAGTGAAGACAGATAGTCCTGATTAAACTCAAGTGTATCACTGCCAAGTTTTATATGCGATTCATTTAATGATTTGCCGTCTTGTTAAAATGTTTTCGCTGTCAGTCTGAACAACAAAAGCAGAAAAAACAACTTTCTTCATTTATTAGAAAGATTTTTCTTTTCTGTTATTTCCTCAATTAACTTAACTTATTATCGAGACAATTAAAGACCACTGCATGTAAAAGGAAGTCTTGGCCTGGATATATGCTAGCTACACCCCCAGAACTTTGCCTGTTGCCCCCATTAATGAATCATCCAGAGATAGACATTTCTTAATTCCATGTGCATTTGTTCCCCCTCTCTCTTTGGAGTTAATAGAGTTTAAGCTTGGACTGCCATGTACACTGGGAGAGAAGATGGTTTTGCTGTTGGTCTCCACTAGGGCTGTACGTAACGATTATTTTTCAAGTCAATTAAAACGACTAATTTTGTGTATTCCATAGAAAAAAAGTTGCCTATCCAAAATAAATATCAAACACATGTCTAATCAATAAATCTATATTTCATTTAATCATCCTGATGAAGCACATTAGAATAATGACAATGATAAAATCTTAAAATTAATCCAATTTCCATGTCACTGTTGTGATAATAACAACAAAAGACATTAATCAGGCTACTTTACTTAAAACTTAAAATGTTTTGCCATATGATAATTCAATGTATGTCTGCGTCAGTGTTGGGCAAAGAGAACACCTGAGACGACTCTCAGACTGTGCCGACAGTCACACATCGTCAGTACTGTTAGATTCAGCTGTTTTCTCGCTCATACGTTGCGTTTTAACAGAAAACAGTCGAACGTTGTGCGGTGTAACGTTACGTTACCATGACAGCAGAGGGACAGAAATAACTTGACATGAAGGCAATGAAGAAAAACTTAAATACATTTTAACGGACTGCGTGTCCTCGCGCTGATAATGTGCCCGTGCTTGTTTGGAGACAAAGTAAACAGGATTTGGGGCCCTAGTCTCCACATCAACAGATGCAAAGAACAGATTAGCTACATGTGCAGACTGAAGTATTAATCAAAAATTTGAGGGAACAACTTATGGAATTAGCACTAGAGGTCATGAAAAAGGATATTGAGCATGTGAACGACTAAGATGAGGGAATCATTTATATAACTTGTGGGAATTGAATCTCCTGTCGCAACATGAAGCTCCATACAAACTGGACGTTGCACTCTTTTTTTCTCTTCTGATAACTCAGACAAGGCGTAGGCACGAGCACTCTGACTGTGGTTCTGGGTCTCCAGAGTCTACAGGGAACAAACCCCAATCAAGTGTCTCGGGCAGTATCACAGATCATCATCATCCCAACTTTAACCCTGGAACTTTTGAAAACGACATCTGCCTCCTGAAGCTCTCCTCACCGGTGACATTCAACGCCTACGTCCAGCCCGTCTGCCTGGCAGCCACAGGCAGCACCTTCTACAAGGGCACTGTCTCCTGGGTCACCGGCTGGGGCAATGTTGGAACTGGAGGTGGGTCAGAAAGGAAGAGCGCAGAATTATGTGGCTTACATGGAAGCATGGTTGGAAAATTCAAACAAAGGTTATAATCTGTTATGCAAAACTAATCTAAATAAAACTGGTAAATGCAACCACACAGAGACGAGCAGAACTCTCAACATCCTACTATGACTGAAAACCATTTCTACAAGAGCGAGCAAGCAAGCATTTTGGGGCACAACCAGGTGACACACATCAGGTAATCAGGACAGGAGAGACCCCCCCCCCCTACACACACACAGGCAGGGAGATACAGATGTGACACAGATCTGTACTATAAAGCCCGTTGACTGGAAATATGAGTAGCTTTGGCTACGTTCACACTGCAGGCCTTAAAGCTCAATTCCCATTTTTTTCCAGATCAGGGGTGTCATTTATAAACGGTGCGTATGTACAAAAAAGGGCTGGAAACGTGCGTACACCACTTCCCAAGCAAAGGCTGTGATCTATAAAAACAAACTTGAAGGACGAATATGCAAGTAAAGTCTGAACCATGCGTAATAAATCAAAATATTACATCAGAGTGTTATGGGCTTAAAGACTTTCTGAATAAACAAATACCCATTTGATTGATTTTCCCTGAAGTGCGCAATAAAAATGCATTTGGTTTACTCTCTTTTCAAACGGGGGAATCCAAATTAGTACCTGGGTCATCCCATGTTGCATTTATGTGTCCCCCTCCACCTCCGTCACAACTCAAGAGGGATGCACCTTCCTGCAGATCGGTTATAAGGGGGTGGAGCTTTGGTGCCCCCTTTCCTCCGGTTCACAAGAGTTGTATGTACCTGTATGTGCGCATTTTACCCCCAAACAACTTCAGCTTCACTAAAACAAATGTCATTTCTTTTTTTAGCTTTTCTGTCAGAATTTGCCTCCTTTTCTTCATGCAGTCAGTAAGTATTAATATTAATGAGGGGCTTTTCACTGACCATTTATAGATAACTATGGGTGTTTGAAGGGTCGGACATGGAGTCAAGTTGATTTTGATTTATAAAGGGAAATCATAAAACTTGCGCATGTTTTATAAATATTGATATTTTGTAGGTACGCACTTCCTGTGTTTAGAACGTACGCAATCTTTAGGAGTATTTTCTACGTACAGTTTTATAAATGAGACCGCTGGATTGTTTTGTTTGACAGTTCACATTATAGTTTAAATGTTGCCCACATCAGACTCCAGTGTGGATATCCACAGCCTGAAAGTGACCCACATGAGCAGAAGAATTAAACAACTTGTGGTACAGAAGTAAAAAAGGAGCCACAGAGGTTAGCTTCAGTTAGCTTATACTTGCTAACACTCCCCATATCTTACAGGATTTCAATTTCAAGGACCGCCTTTTTTCACCTACATAATATTGCGAAAATCAGGAACATCCTGTCTAAAAATGATGCAGAAAAACTAGTCCGTGCATTTGTACTTCTAGGCTGGATTACTGCAATTCCTTATTATCAGGCTGCTCGAAAAAGTCCATTAAGACTCTTCAGCTGATCCAGAATGCTGCAGCACGTGTTCTGACAGGAACCAGGAAAAGAGATCACATTTCTCCTGTTTTAGCTTCTTTGCATTGGCTTCCAGTGAAATCCAGAATAGAATTTAAAATCATTCTTCTTACCTACAAAGCTCTTAATGGTCAGGCACCATCTTATCTTAAAGAGCTCATAGTACCTTACTACCCCACCAGAGCACTGCGCTCCCAGAATGCAGGGTTACTTGTGGTTCCTAGAGTCTCCAAAAGTAGACTAGGAGCCAGAGCGTTCAGCTATCACTCCTCTCCTGTGGAACCAGGTTCCAGTTTGGGTTCAGGAGGCAGACACCATCTCCACATTTAAGAGTAGGCCTT